GGGGAAAGCGTGAAGCGTATAAAGTCATAAGGGTTTATGCATGAATTGATTGCAGCAGCAGCAGCACAAGTCACACCACCACCACCACCATCAGCAGCAGCAGCAGCAGCAGCACGAACACCACCAACACCACCGACGCCAAACGGCACCACCAGCACTCAGACACTTGCTGGCAATATACTCGTAATAAAAGAATAAGAATTATATGCTTTTGTATAACATTTCGCTTTAATAATCTATGAAGTGGCTACAGCGGCGGCAGCGTCAGCTTCTTGGCTGGGACCAGCTCTTTGGCCAAGTTGAAGCGGAGCAAGCCGCAGCTGTGCTGTGGCCCGATTGCCTGTGGCTGCTCATTGTCCGAGTTGGACTCAAACTGGGACTCGCAATTTGGACATTGACTCAAGTCCGATGCCGCATTGACAAGTGAAATATTTGACATAATTAAATTTTGATACAAGTCCATAACTATTAGACATTCCGGCTATCTCGTTAGTCCCACCGCAAAACAAAAAAGACGACGAGCAGCGCACAATAGACAGCCCTCCCCCATACCCTGCTTACCCAGCCCTGTCTCTGGACGCAGGCACATATGTCCAAGCATGTAGTCCAGGCATCCTTCTTCATCCTGTGGCGGCGTGTCAGGTCTAGTGACATTGGGTACGTTATTTGTTTACTTCGTGACTGACCAGAGGTTGGCGATTTGTTCGTCTTGAGACGACGACGACGACGACGACGACAATAGCCCAAAGACTTGTCTCACGTACTCACTCGAACGACCTGTGAATCCTGCTGCTGCTGTTGCTACTGTTCCCGGTCCAGTTTCATGTCCTGCTCCCACTCCCGTCTGCTACCAGTTGTTTGTGCTGGCATTGCGGCTGTCTGCGGGCATTCCACTTGTCATTAACCTTGTTATTAAAACACTTTTGTTTATGACCATAACATCTGATGTCCAACGCCTGCGTTGAGGGGACAAAATGTACAAATAACTTACGTGCCGCTCATTTGTCTTATTGTTTCGCAAAACTACTTGTGCCATTGTGAGAGCTTGACCGCTTGCCCACCGAGCTCAGGAGGCGTGAGTAAAGTACGCAGGACATGCAGTTGGTCTTGGCGCCAACGCGGACAAACAAAAGACACCTTGTACCCGAGCCTGTTCCTGTCCAGTCCAGTCCGCCGTCCAGCACCGTTAAAGCTTCCGTCTGCGCCACTTGGCGGCCATTTGTTTTCCGGTGATCATCGCAATGTAAACGAAATGAGTTCAATTTGTTAACGCTGCAGACACACGTATTAAACACACTAATTTGCGGCATCGCTTCTGGACATATCAGCAATTTGTTTCAAGCAGCTGTCCCCAGGACTCACACACACACACACACACACACACACACACACACACACACACGCGCACACACGTTGCTAACTGTAAATGCCAAAAGGACCCGTCTCTAGTGGTTGATCCGTCAACAATATTTCATACTCTCCACACTCGGATAAACGCCGAAATGACAAAGCCCATTAAAAAAAAACAATACAATTTGGGTTGAGCTTCAGAGCCAGACCCTGCAATTGTTTCTGGAACTGTTCTTAATTGAAACAAGTTCAGGGTTTCCAAAAATTCTAGAACTCCTTCAATAAGACAACACAATGGTATATACACTATATATGTTAATTAGGCTATCGATCGATTTAGATTATAATAAGTATGGGATATAGCTAGCACAGGCATCTAGAGCTTGCGACTAAGGTTTTACCATGCATACATAAGCAATGGATTTGAGCTCGCATCCTTCATTTAACACTTAAGCACTTTGTACAAAGTGATTTAGTATTATTATTATTTTTGACTATTTTGAATTTGATCTTAACTCTATCATAACGAAATATGGAAAGTATTTAAAAGTCATGCCCTTCTGTTGGACTTCAAATAGCGACCCTTATTAGTATTAAAGCGAGATCGTAGTTCATCAGGTTCATTGGTTCAAAGGCGTGTGTCTTGTGGCTGTTTGTCGCAATCTACAAGAGGCATAAAACATCTCCGCTTGTTATGAAATCTGAGACGCAGCACGATCAAAAACCGCACCACAAAGCCCAGGAGCTGGCAACAAAACTAAAGTAGCCGCAGCCAGATGATTAAGGCACAGGCACAGGACCAGGCACAGGCCCAGGCCCAGGCCCAGACCCAGACCCAGCCGTAGGCCCAGACCCCGTCGAGCTACCAGCTGATGATAAATAAAAATAAGAGAAATCAAAAAGAGCACAGTACAAGCTCGAATGCACGATGCCCTCCAGTCCGGAAAGCCGAAAGGGATTGCTAAAATTTGGGCATTTGAATAAATGCACAGCTCACGCAGCTCACTTATCGAACAAAAAGGGTATCAAAATACGGGTAGCAATGAGACATAATCAACGCAAACTGCATACAAGCTCATTACACAGTTTGATGGACCTGAAGTTTGGATTGTCTCGCCTGAAAACCGCATTCATAAAGTCGTGTCCGAGCAAACGCATGGCAAAATCAACAAACGGACCCATGCGAAACGCACAGAAGCCTGAAATACACTTACACTTAGGGCGTGGCAGCTAAATGCAAATGGGATCAAAAATAATGCATTAAACGGAAAACGCTGACAAATCGAAGCAAACCCTTGTCGGGTCAAACAACAGCTGATAGCCGAAGTGCCTTGGCGGTGAGTGTATTAAAGCTGTTGCCCTCGATCTAATCTGTGCATGCAACAACAGCTCCACTTGGACGGTGGTCTCATTTGTTGCTACTGCTTCAACTGCAGCCTGCAACTGCAACTGGAACAGGAACTGGCCCTGTGGAGCACCAGGTGTAATATGATGCGCCTTTTGATGCCAAATGACAAATCAGATACAAGACGCGGCTCACGAATCGAGCACTGGTTAAATTGCATTGACAATTCTCCCAGTCTTGGGTTGGTAGAGTCTTAGCCAACATGCGATGAGCAACGAGGAGGGGTTGTCTGTTTGAGGGGCTTGTTGCTTGCAAAAGTAAGAGGAACATGCATATTGTATGACTCGCTGCTTTAGCTGTTGTATCTGTTGTATCTGCTCTGAGCTGCATAATAATTTTGTCGAGTCTTTAATAATTCCTGCTAACGAAATTGCGTAGAAACTCATTAACGAACTCAAAGGGCCCAGCTCGGAGTTGGGGAGCACCAGGAGTTGGGGTTGGCTCAAATTGAATTCCATGTTTCCAAGTGCGAGCATGTTGTTCTCCTGTTTTCGTTGTTTTTGTTGTTGTTGGGTGTTGTTTATGTAAGAACTGCTTTGGAATTATTTATGAACCCGATGGGAAAAGCTTTGAATGTGTCGCAATGCTTGCCACGGGCCCTGCCTGAATACCTAATTCCGGTTGCGTCGCCCCTTTCGTTGCCCAGCACCAGGACCTGGGGCCGCACAAGTGGGAATACATTTGCTCACAAAGTGGCGCATCGTGCAATAAACGAAAGTGTTTTCCAATATAAGGAGCGCTTTATCCTATAATGTGGTAATCGCTCGCGTAAAAGGCGACAAATCATTTAAACCCTTTCCCACCCACTGACCGGCTTCTGCCAAACGCTGACTGGCCCACCGTCCGCTTGTCCGCCTGTGGCTGTAGCCTAACGATGTAACGCTATGTGTATTCCTGCATCCAGTACAAGGGTGACAACAATAACAAGCAACAGCAGCCCTCGTTTCCTCTTCTGTCTTTCTGAGCCCCCCCTTCGCCAACCGAAACTGTGCCATGTATCAAAGCCCAGGGCGGAGGCGAATCACACACCCCATTCCCATTTCCAATCCCATTCCTGTTCCCATTCCCGTTCCCGTTTTCAGTCCCCTTCGCCTCTCCGCCCCTTAAAGAGTTGAAAAATGTATGCACACGTTAACCCTTTGAGCATTGGGCGAGTAGTCAAGTCCTTTGGACACAACCAGGGCCCGTAGGCAGCTAATGCTAATGTTTCATGCAGTCGCCCGTCCGCTCCTTCTCAAATTGGGCATCAGCGTTAGCATCATCAAGCCGGTAGCTGCTGTACGAGTATGGTATATGGTACATGGTACATACTAACTGGTAGCTGGTAGCTGGTAGCTGATGGCTGGTGGCTACCAGGGGGAGCGCCCCCTTCCGAAAAAGTGCTGCATCCCCGTCCGCGGATGCTAAAGGCCAATTCGAATGGGCCATGAATCTTTTCCGCCTTGCTTGTGCCAAAACATAAAAGTGAAATTTGTTTTTTATGACATCTTTATTCAGGCTAAATAAATACAAAGTATTATAGTGCCAGGGGACATTTGTGAGTGCGCTTCGAGTGACCGTTGCCATTCCATTTACCCCTTTTCTCTCTGCAGGCCTCATATTGATTAGCCAGCCGTTCATGATAAATAGACCATTATGCAGTTATCGTAATTGCGTAGACCCATCCATAATAACGGCGTGAAGTTCACTCGCCGCCAATAATGTTGCCGGCTAAATGCGAGCCACATATCAAAAATGTAAATGATATTCAATTGAAATATTCCCCCGGGACCGATTGTGGGCCAAGAAATTGTCCAAGGAAATCAATAATTTGCCTAAAACCACGTATCTGTTTTCAATTTCAGTCAACCTAGTTGACAAGAAGTTATCTGCTTGTCAGCGAAATGTTTAATTTAAAAAAAAAAAGCGAGAGTCGTTTCCGGGATCGTATAATTTACATTTAGCAAGTGCTGCCATATTGGCAAAACATTTCAAGCTGGCAGCACTGCATGCTATATTGTCACATTTCTATCATGCATATGCATGTAATATAGGTTACATATCCTAAAATTAACTTAACCTGAATGCGACAACATGCTGACTATCTGTTAGCGCAACAAGGCAGGCACATTAGGCACAGATAGAGTTTCTCTTGGCTTTCTCTCAAGCCCAAGCTTCTTTTTTACCTAATAACTCATTCAATAAATGTTATCGTTATCGGCATATCTGCCAGCACTATTAACCCGATTTGCCCAGTCCACTAGCACCCCGGAGATTGCTCGATTGGCGAACGGAAAGTATCCGAAAATAAAATCAAGAATAGACAGTGCCAATGCTGTGCTCTGTGGTCCATTACTGAGCACAAAGTTCTGTGCATGGAATATGTGCACACATATACATATGAACATTTGTGTGCCTTTGTATGTATGTTTGTAAATTATACAGATATTCGAGTTGAGATATTTAATGGAATTTTCTGTTAGACCGCTGTGTGTTTATGAATTTTCGATTAATCAACGCTTGACTTTCATTTGCTGCGCTCCGCTCTGAGTTGTGATGACATATCTGACAGGATGAAAGATTGTGCGATGGGACGACGGCTGTTGCAGAGTTTCGACAATTTTATTTATGATAATTTGCATGTTCAACAAAGGTCGTGAAATAAATAGGGACAACAAATCAGGACAGGCCGTAAGCGTCATGTAAATTGTATCTGCCGCCCTCTGGTAATTGAGCAGGTTGGCCAAAGCAATGGCAGGGATTGCCGCCCATGCCCGTGCCCGTGCCCGTGCCGGTGCCGGTGCCGGGGACACGCCCGAACATGTCGTCGAGGACGTTGCCGTTTAGCCAACAGCCAACACTAGCAAACAGCAGCAGTGTCAGTGGTAACACCAGTGCCATAGCCAGCGCCAGCGCCAAGTCCCATGTGAGCAGTGAAGTTTTTTAATCAAGCCGCCTGTCAAGTGTTTGCAAAACAAATACCGCGCTTATCCATCAATCAAAACACGCAATATGGCAGCGTGACTTTCCACAACTAAGCAGCAGTAGCAGCAGCAACAGCAACAGCAGCAAGTGGTTCTTGGCACTTGGCTGCTTGGCGAGTGCTAAACCATATGGAACGAAGCGGAACAATAAAGCGACACTGTCAAACATTTGCATACACGACACCCAGCACACACACACACACACACACACATACAAAGAAGCAGAGACACAGTCAAACAGCCACACAGCGAGCCACGCACTTCATGCCCACCCACACAAATGCCGCAGCGCTCTCACGCACAGGGCACACAGACGCGAGCCGCACGCACGCTTGGCATCGGCTGTCGTTGACGGTCACCAATACATGCGAGCGTGAGTGGGCTGTGGATTATTTTTAATTGCAGCTAATCAAGCTGACAACTTTGTTTCGTTTGACATTTTATATGGAAGTTGTGGTGCATATAGTATTTTAATCAGCTTTTTTTCATATTTGTACACCGTGCATCGACAGAGCTGTCAATACTCGCTTAATGGACCACATTGGGAAAGTAGAGCCAAGGTCGCCAAGGGCTCCAAAAACAGCAGCGACAACAATAACAGTAACAGTAACACCATCACCAGCTGGGGGAAACTGTAAAAGAAGGCTGTCTGTCACATCCAAAGCTTCACAAATTAATCCAATGGCATTTGCATGCGGGGGCAAAGCCCCTGGGTAAATGCTGGAAGTGGGGGAGGCTTTTTTTGTTACTACTTGTCGAGCGTATTGTGTTGAAATTGATTCTTAAACGTTTTGAAGAATGATGCGAACTTGACTTCAGCTGGCAGCCAGCCAGTCAGCCAGTCAGAGCCACCCTCTCTAACCCACCCTGGCGCATGGCTAAATGGACGGATGCCAGCGGTACGGAATGCGGATGTGGAGGGAGCGCCACAGGAACAACACATTAAACAACAGTTCCTGGTGTTAAACATGCACAACAACAGCGTCGAGAAAAAAAATGTAAATGCCATTGTAAAGATGTAACAGCAAAAAAAAAAGGATACTGATATGGCAACAGTTACAGCAACAGATACACCACACAGGATACATATTGGCAAAACAATGAGTGCCAACCACACACACACACATACACATGGACACACACACACACACACACACACACACACGCACAACAGCAACAACCCCAATGAAGGGCAAATGGTGAAAAATATGCGCACAGATATGAGTACAGATGTCGAGAGTTTTAAATTGCATTAACTCATTTAATGATGTTCAAATTGAGGCTGACAAATAATGGGGAGTATGTCAGTCGGTGGCGCCTCATTCCCAAATCTCACGCCACTTTGTGACACCAGCAATAGCCCCTCTCACCGCTCCCCGCCCAGCAGCCCGGCGTAGACCTAGGCCAGACCCAGGCGCTGGCATCACTTTAAATTGCTGCTGTCAAAGCGACGGTGTGTGTGTGTGTGTGTGTGTGTGTGTTCGCAAAGGGGCTGCGGTGGGTTGGGGGGTTACTCGAGCTAAACTATTTGTCATGTCTGTCACACTCTCGTACATCTTTGTCAACACTATTTAGAAGTTTAATAAATTTTCACTTTGTTGAAACGCCAGTCAAATATTTAATATCCACGCGCTACAAGTCAACGTCAACAGCAGTGGCAGCGACAGCTCCTGCCCGACCTCCCCCTCACACTCTCACAATCCTCCCACATACGTTCCAATGTCCACTGGTAGCCTTAAGATTGAAAGTGGACTTGATTTAAGATTTGGGTAGAGCTGGCCTAATAGGCAGATCCGTGCGTGACAAGTAGAACTGATTAAAAGTCACAGCAAATATTTTTTAAATACACTTATAAATAAATATAGATAGATATAGATATAGATATAGATATAGATATAGATATAGATATAGATATAGATATAGATATAGATATAGATATAGATATAGATATAGATATAGATATAGATATAGATATAGATATAGATTAGATATAGATATATATATATATATATATATAGATATAGATATAGATATAGATATAGATATAGATATAGATATAGATATAGATATAGATATAGATATAGATATAGATATAGATATAGATATAGATATAGATATAGATATAGATATAGATATAGATATAGATATAGATATAGATATAGATATAGATATAGATATAGATATAGATATAGATATAGATATAGATATAGATATAGATATAGATATAGATATAGATATAGATAGATATAGATATAGATATAGATATAGATATAGATATAGATATAGATATAGATATAGATATAGATATAGATATAGATATAGATATAGATATAGATAGATATAGATATAGATATAGATATAGATATAGATATAGATATAGATATAGATATAGATATAGATATAGATATAGATATAGATATAGATATAGATATAGATATAGATATAGATATAGATATAGATATAGATATAGATATAGATATAGATATAGATATAGATATAGCTAAATAAATTATTATTTATCAGACCTATGCGAATAGATACAAAGTATGCGAGCACGCATTGCATGGGGCGGGTCCCGGCAAAAGTCTCGTGTTCCAAAAGTTTAAAAATAATCCATCAATATGTAGGGGTTCGTGACTAGTTGTGTACACACATCGACATTGGTTAATATGACGCCCACATGCTGGAAGAGTCACGCTCCGGAGTGTTTAATTCACTGAAATAATGCCCCGTGATTGGGAGACTGCGGCGACCCACTTGCCAGATGCGGCGTCCAGTTTTATGGTATACGGAATCGTTCAATCGGCCTATAGAGACCACCGTGCAAAGGAAATGCAATGTGGAATCTGAGGCGTAGACGTGGACGTGGACATGGACGTGGACGTGGACGTGGACGTAGACGGAGATGCCCCCTCTGAACTTTTTGGATTCTAATAGATCGCGCAGTGTGTGTGTTTGTGTCTGGGGATATAAAAATGAAACCGCACGCATCTCTGATTGACCATATATACAATAATATATATGTATATATGCATATTTGTATGTATGTGCACATATGTATGTACATGTGCACGTATTTATTTATTTAAGCAGTCGTGCAAACGAATCTCCACAATTGGTGGTCCCCATGAATACTTTGAAAGTTCGAGTACATAGTCAAAACTCCGGCACATGCACAGCTCGAAGGGAAATGCTTCTGTATATATGATATAAATGTGCTGCACCCGTGCCATACCAAAAGGGGTAACGGGGTTGGGCGGGTGGTTCGGTGCGGAGCGGTGCGGAGAAGGCGGTGAGCTGTTATGAAAACGACGCGTCTAAAATCGGAGAATGCGACTAATGGAAAAATTCATATTAAATCGATTATATTGACAAGGGGGCACATGTAGACCGCGACCACGACCACGACCACCTACCCCTGCCACCGCTCCCGCCCCACTGTTTGCTGCCTGCTGCTGCTGGTGCTGTTGCTGTCGCCAGCGTCGCCTTCAAGGGGCCAATACAGTGGGCCATGTGCGACGAGGTCGAGACAAAAATATCAACAAAATAAAAAAATCAACAAAATAAAAATAAGAAGAAAAATAATGAAAAAACATTACGCAGGCGAGAGCCAAATCATAAATTTGTAAGTTATTAACAAGAACAAATACGTTTGTCAAATATTAATGATTCACGGCATCGACAGCGACAACAACAACAACAACAACAAGAACAACAACAACAAGAACAAGAACAACATCAGCGACAGTGACAACGACGCGGCGACACTCTCACTTTTACACTTTCTGGTAAAAGCCGTCTGTCACACAAATTGCTGAAAAGCCATTTGACAACTAATTTTTAGAGGTGGCGACGACAACGGCGGCGACACCTTGCACTGCCAGCAATGGGAATGTGTGACCAAAACCAGCACACTCCCCCTCCCCCCTCGCCACTCCCCTCTGGCAAGCCCAACACCCGCCCTCCCCAATTGCTAGCTAAACACATCGGCTCGCACTCGCACTAGCCTAAACGTACCGCAATCTAATTGCTGTTGGCAGCATCCGCGGTTCTTTAATTGAAGACATCAACACTAGCTAAAAATACGATATGACTATGTGTGTGTAGGTGTGTGCGAGTGTGTGCGTGTGCGTGCATGTGTGTGCGTAATCGATGAAGGGCGAAATGGGTAATGGAAGCGAGGAGTTTAGACATTGCATTGAGAAGGTTGCGAGGCGCAACTTGTAACTGCATTTAATTTAGAGATGTAACAAAAGGTTGCGATAGTCGAGAGTTGGGCAATATACAGTGAAACAACATTATAGGCAACCTAAATAAATTGCATAACGAATTGTTTTTCTCTACTATTTTCTAACTGAACCTACAAATTTGTATCTCTTTTTTTTTTTTAAATTAAAAAAAGAAAAACTAATTATCATAAATTAAAAAATTAAATATTTAAGTAAATAGCCCCTCGGTCAAAACAATGTCACCTCCATAGCCTTGCCTGCGATTTGAACCAGCAACTTTTTTTGCAGTTGCTTACATACAATACGCAGAAAGCTTCTCAAATGGAGCTTCGATTTAAGTTCTCAGTAAAAGTGGAGCATTCATTTATCACAAATATATGTTGTTCTTAGAGCAGTTGCACTGTACTTTGAGAACGCATTTGGCACATCAACTCACGACATACGTGACTTGGTCACGAGCACATCTCTA